ATTTTAAACATAAAAGGCTGTCAGCAGCTGGACTTTGTGAAAATGCGCAGTGCAAGAGAAATGGTCTTGGAAATGAATAAATCAAATTTCAAAGAATTTAGTTTATAAGCATATTTCTCAGGATATCCAAACAATAGATAAATACTTGAACAGTCATTTTCTCCCCTAGGGATTTTGGTACATTAAAAAAAACCCAAAAAACAACAAAGCCAGCATAATAAACAAACAAACAAAAAAACAACAACAACAGACTAAGGCCTTAACTTGGAGACTGAAGGCTTTAAAGTTAGCACTTGGAGCACATTTGAAAGATGTGGTTTGACATGATGAACTTTTGGGTGTAAGCCATACACGCAAATAGTTGTCCTTTAAGAGATGTTGGGAGACTGTCCTCGCTGTTTACCACAGTCTCCAGCAGTAATGTTTAATAAAGTTTCTTACCTCCTACTTGAAAGATTAGGAGAAGGGAGGTAATCTGCTGCTTTGTAAAGACTCAGAAGTATCAGGGCAACTTTCAGTTGATGTTAGTGCTCAGTGATATATATTACACATGTATTTTATCTATATATACAGATTTTATACATGTAGTGTCTGAATAGTCTGTACATAATACATCCTTTTGCTTATTTAGGACTAGGTAGACCTACTGCTTTCTTACTTTTAAATGAGCATAAACATCTTTTAAATTTTTTTTTCAAAACGAAGGAGTTTCAAAGTAAGTCACATTGCCTTGCATTTTCTGTGGATCAAGAGCACACACATACAGATAGCCACAGCAATTCAGCTGACAGGCAGTAACTTGTTAAATTATTGTAACTTGAGGGTATGTCTGAGCCTTTAATTCTTGTCAAATTAGGGTTGATACCACTGAGTTTGGCCACTCTATGTAAAGGTAACGAGCAAACAGTTTTTATAATAGGCAAATACTCCTTTCCACTCTCAAGGGCAATACCCATATTCCAAGAATTAACAACTTTTTAACTTTTGCATCTTATTTTCAGTCGCCATTGTAGCAGATGGCACTCTGTCCAATGTTACCATGTTATCACTTTCATAAGTGCAGTTTGGATTAGCTTTTTTTTTTTTTTTTTTTTAAATAAACCCTCTTTGGGTTAGCATTGACTTGACATGTTAAGAAAGAAACCCAAACATATTACTGCATATTTTATCCTCCCTAACTTTGGCGATTATTATATTACTATTTCTTGTATCCATGGAAGAAACATACAATGTTGCAAGTTCTGTTTTTACATGGATGATCTACTACAAAAAGGTTTCTTTTAGGCTTACTGATTCCAGTAGTGACTGTAACTAATTGGGGTTCTGGGGGGAAAAAAAAAATCTGAAAAAATAAATATGAAATAAGTGATAAAGGATGTCTTTCTACATTTTGCCCTCTCTCTTGTTGTTTGGTATAATAGGCTGAAAATTCAACTATTCTGTTTATTGGCAGAAGTTACAGGGATACAGCTGGGATTCATATGTTCTGTATTAGCTGAGTTACTGCTATTTAGCGATCTTGTATTAACAGAAACTTAACTTGCTTTTAAGAACCACACTTTTGCATATACTGCCATTGCAATGTAATATTGGTTAATTAAGGGGAAAATGTGTATTTAGACTTACTGCTCAAAATTATGCATGAGACAGCTTGATATTTTGGATAATTCTTCAGCACTATCACATTTACAGAATATATTGGAACATATGTATAATATTTACACACTTTCCAGAATCATAAAACAGTGTCCACCTCCTCCCTCCTTTCTGAATGCATCGCATCCAATTCACAAAGTGTTTAATTGCATATTTAAATTTAATAATGTAATTATTTAATAGATGTAAGTACAAGGTTAAGTTTAAAATGCAACTCCTTGCTGTACTGAAGTGGGGCCATTAAGTCTGTGAAAAGAAAGATAGAGTTTATGAAAATGCAGACATGTCTGAGTAACACTGAAAGCAGAGTTCAGCAGTGCCCAACGGGCCACTTCTACAATAGCAATTCACTTCTGAAATGTTGGTCTCTGCAGGGAAGATCACTATCATTATAATTAGAACTAGACTACAATGGACTGCTCACAGTAGCTATTCCAAAAAGTTCTTTGAAGGTGAAGATGAGTGGTAGGCATTCTCAGGAATAGAAAATTGCTTGCTCAAGTAAAAAAGGAAAAAAAAATTCACCAAATAAAACAAATCTTAAATAACTAGATGGCTAAAATAAATTTAAAATTTATCCATCCTTATTTAAAATAAAATCACTGTATTTCCAGCTTGGATATTGCTGCTGGACATTAAAGAAATACATCATTTACATTTTCACAGACTCGGTTATATGTAATTATAACTGAAAGTAGATACATATTGTGAGCAAATTGAAGAGAGACAAAAATATAGCAGCTTCACCTCCAATGCTCTTTTTCTTTTTTTGCTTTCAAAACTGACAGGGTTTTTTTTCTGCAAATTATGACGGCTTAATTACCAGGAACTGTTTAGCCCTCTTAGGTACATTGATACAAATAGGTATATTGGTATGAAAAATCTTTGAAGATGTTCTGATCAGGTTTTTTAGTTGTCTGGTTTTTAAACTTTTTTTTTTTCCTTATCCGGGCTGTCTAGAGACTAGATCAGGCAGTTGGCTAAAATTGAAAACCTGATACCAAAGCACAGTCCTTGGTCTTCACACCAAAGCCAGCACATGTTGCTGTATTGAAAGGTTTTTAGATAGATTTGTTGCTGTTCACAAATGTCTCTAGACTTTGCATACCATGTAGAAGTTGCTGCAGTCTGCTAAAACTATAAACTTCAAACTACAGCTGCAAGAATCCTAGAAACTGAGGGAAAAGTTTTCTCTGTGGAAGACTGAGTTGCTCCTGCCAAGAGCATTCAAGTTATGACAAAAAGATTTCGACACTGGTTGCTTTTTCTTTAAAATTAACAGTGAAGATCTGGAAAACAGGTCATAGAACTTAACTCTGTGAGTAAACAGGAATTATTGAAGTACCTGAAGAGAAGGATAGGTAATAATTATGTGAGAGGAGAAGTACCTGTGCCAGCGATCAGTCAACCTCACAACCTCAGCCTCTGCTAAAAAAGTGTGTCCTGATGTTCAGAGGAACCTTCTGTGTTTCAGTTTGTGCTCATTGCCTCTGGTCTATTCAAAAGAGTCTAGCAGTCCTCTTTGCACATTCCCTTCAAGCATTTGTACAAATTGATGAGGTTCCCCTGAGTCTTCTCTTATCCAGCCTGAGCTGTCCCAGCTCTCTCAAACTTTGATCACAGGAGAGAGTCTTCAGTTCCTCAGTCATTTGTGGCCCACCATTGCACTCACTTTTTCCAGTTGCTCCACTCTGTCCAGTTAGACAAGTTAAAAGGATATAAAAAATATCTGCTATAAATTTTTTCTTCACACCTTTGATGTGACAATGGAACATAATAGTACATATCACAGGCATTTGGAAATATTCAAGCAGATGTAAATACAGTAGCACTTTTTTCTCTCCATATTGAAATCAGGAAATTATCAACCAAACAGTCTTCTGTATAACAGCCTTTATCTGACTTCTCTACTTTTTTATATTACCCCAGGTACCAGCAACTATATGATACTATAAGCCACAGAAACTGTTTTTGTCTAATATGTTTGGTGGAGGGTTTTTTTCCAATTTCTGGATTCTTTATTTCTTATAAGCTAATGTTTTCTTTGGAGTTCAGTGATCTAAAGACTATGATTAGATTAGTTAGAATGATGTTGATTTTCAAAATGCTTACTTTTTGTCAATCTAGGCATTATAATGAAGCAATATGGTATTGCAAACGTTTTGGTGCCGACGTTTGATGTGTGTAGAGGAAATACCATAATTGTTTCAGAAAATTATTCCTGAGTAGTAAAATTCCATTGATTGCACTAAACAAGCTAGTAAGTTCTCTCCTGCTATTATTAAATTGCAGTCAAGATATCAAAAAATTGAACATATGCACAATTTGATTAGAGGTTTTAATATACTCTGGCTGACATTTATATCGCAATTTAAATTTGCAACTGCATGGACCATTTCTTAGGAAATTATAGTCTTTAGGTTTTAACCGAATATCTTCTGGGGTAAATAGGTGCATTTAAGTTAGTAAAAATACAGTTTTTGGTTTCTTAAAAATTTGCTGTCAGAGCACTCAATGTTTGATTTTTTTTTCTCATATTATTGAATTTTTGTGGGCTTCAAAGGAGATTGAAATAGACGGGCTATCCAAATTCATAAGTTGTTTAAAATAGTTTAATTTTAAAATACTACTCATAATTTAAGTGGTAGTTAAAGTTTTGATCCTTTTAGAATATTTTTCACTTTCTGCCTAAAGGTAACAATGTTTGTCAAAGCTGGAAACATTGCTTAAGTCCTTACTGAAGTCAATGTGTTGAATGTTGACTAGAGGTATTAACTAGTGTTAAAAAAATATCACTGAGGAAAAAAAAAATTAGTAGAGTTGAAATCCTGGGTTTGATTCTAGAAATGACCATGGTGTCAGCCAAGCAGAATGATAATTTTGATAGCATTTGAACTTCTGTGGGTGTCTCTGTTCCCAGAAAGATTCCTTAAGGGAAGTTCATGTATTTGTGACTCCCTCTAGTGGATCACTTTCTCAACTCTACACTACGAAATGTTCTCCATATTAAATTCACGTGACATTAAACATTCAGACGTCCTTGTTTTTGTGGTGAGGATCTGATTCCATTCTCGTGGAAAGTCTGAATGTGTTTATGTTCATCTCCACTCATTATCACGCATTTTGCGATATATTTTTAAAATATTTTTTCATAATGTGATTGCTGATAATCATATCCATTTATATGTGCAACTAATCAGCTAATGATGATACATACATTAGCAGATGGAACATTCTTTTTTTTCTATGCTACAAACCTTTTCGATTTCCCAGACTTTCGTTTATGTGACTATATTCCTGAAATGTGTGCAGTTCACCTTAATTATTATTTAATTGTATTTCAGGTACCACCAAGGTAAATCTTGTGAAGATCCCTTCAACTGCTTCCAGCCCTCGAGACACTGCTCTGGCAGCTGTTATATGCAGTGCACTTGCAACAGTGCTCTTAGCTCTCCTCATTCTTTGCGTTATCTATTGTAAGAGGCAGTTTATGGAGAAGAAACCAAGCTGTGAGTTTCCAGTTGTTACTCTTTCTTTTATAATATTTATATAGTGGTGGTGTTAGTTTGGCAGATCTCTCTGTAGGTAAATAAATGAAGTGTCTGCATCATTCAAGCAAGTTTAGCATTGAGATGATCAAGGTAGCAGAAGCCTAAGACTCCATCCAAGTTTGCCAGCTCAGTGTGGATGTTCCAGCTTCTACTGAGAAAATGCTGTGTAGATACCCAGAAATAGTCTAACTGCATCAATTCTGTGCCACACTCTGCTAGATGCTGCACAGGATCTGTGCATCACATGCTATTGTGAAAGACAGATCAGGTCATCAAGATAATGGATGTGGCCAGTGTAGATGAGAGATTTGTCACTAACAGTTTGGGTTTTATGGGCATATTCCAGATGAATTAAGTGCCTAAGCCAGTTAAATTTGTAATTTTTTTTAAAACCCATAACAGCTCATCCATGCAATTTGTTTTTAATACACAACTTTCTGCCACTTACTTTAAATTAAGAAAAAGTCAAAAGCACTCTAGTTCTCCTTTATCATTTAAAAAAACCTGTATTAAAATATGTTTACAGCATCTAATGAGCCCTGAATGCCAAACAAGGATATTATCTAGGAAGGATTGATGTTATCACTGCTTACAGCACAAGCAAAAATAAAAAGATTGAGAGAGGCATTTGTAAGAATTGTTCTTAACCTAGAAGATGCTTTAGAGTTTTGTGTAATTCAGACATAGTGAATTCAAATTTCAGTTAGTGAAGTACAGTAACTCGCTTGCCTTGGCCTACAATTATAGTGATTAAAGGAAGTCTGCTGTTAATATAAAACTCTTTAAGGTAACATAAACAAAATCTCAGTGGCTGAAAGCTGAGTGTGGAAAGTTTCAGATGGGAATCACTGAGAATCATTAAACACTGAAAAACTGTAACAGTGAATAAGATATACTCTCAAACCATCAAAATGAGAGCAGATGTCTTCCTAGAAGAGGCTGTAGTTGAACCAGCTGTTCTAGGGTTTGTTGCAAAATCTGTGGCTTGTGTTATATGGAACCACATGATCATTGTGGACCTTTCAGTTGGAAAATGTATGAACATACTCTATAGCATGACACTGAAGCACTCTATGAAGACAGAAGGCTCTGAGCAGGAAGAAAGATAACACTTACTGATATGGATTTTTATTCACTTTGTTCAAAGGGTCTCTGAGATCACAAGACATTCACTACAATGGCTCTGAATTATCATGTTTTGATAGACCACGGCTAAATGAGTATGACCACAGAACATGTTGCCAGTGCCAAAGAAGCACATCACAGACATGTGGTATGTTAGGTCTGCTAAAAGGTGACTTTATTTATCTAATACTTGAGTTGTGACATTTCACTTTAACTACAAACTACTCTTTGTCCTAGGCTAATTTCCCAATAAGTAGATAGGATTTTTAAGTAGCTATTTAGGGTTTTCTTGTTGTTGTTTTTTCCTGTTTTCATTCCAGTGACTTCACTTAAAAAAAAAATCTTTAAATGCCTATGTCATTTCTTTATGATAAAATAGCACTGCACCTGGCTTTGAGACTTAAATTAGTATGAAGGATTTACTAGACAGTATCTGAGAATGTGATATGAATGCTAAAGACATGAACAGCCTCAACAATTAAAGTCATTGCCATTTTGTGGAGTCGTATCCAAACAGATGCAATTGTGACATTAAGAAATACATAATTTAACACAAGAGCACAGGCTTAAATATCATCCTAATAGGTTAACTCAGAATGCTTCCTCTCACATGTATTCAGTTGAAAAGCAAAATAATTGAAAAATTAGATATTCATGATTGGCATATGTATTACTCCTGAAGGAAGAAAAGGGCTTTCTTTTATAAGTAATTCAATTTTAAAGGAATAGGGAACCCATTCCTTGCAGTAAGAAATCTTTCTCAATTCGTGTATTATAATGTAACTGGCAAACTAATATTAAAGTTTGAAAGGGAACAGAGTCTAAGTTTATACAGAGCTTTAACAGTTTTAATATTTTCATTCCTTAGGACCAGTTCACTTGATTCCATCACTATGTTGTGATGAAACCTGTAGCATGGGTCACAGCTGTGCTTTCCACTCTCAGACCACACTTAATGAAAGGTAACTTAGTTTTACAAATGTCTATTAAACATTAAATATTGTTTTATGCAGTCAAATTAATATTTATACAAATACAATGGCTGTTTGAAGTGGAGTGAGGGATTTTGATGCCATACCATCCTGTGTTGTGCAAAAACAGGTTTATAGTGAAAACTTTGATTTTAAGTATTACTTTGCAAATGCTGACTTGATACATGAGTTTCTGCCAAAAAGTGACTTCTCTCACGAGCAGATAGTCTTCCTCTTACTCTGTGGCACCTTAGAGGCTTTGGTGACCCTCTCTTCTGCTATTGGTTACCAAACTGCTGCATAGACCTATGAATCTGGGGGTCCTGAGGTACAATTCAGAAGTGTCATGAAGACTTTTTTTTTTTTTTTTATTTAGGAACTCTTTAGACTTTCACATTTGAAATAACTATTATTTCTGAATTTCTATCAGATTATAACTTTTATTTTCTTGTGATCTGCTGAATATAAATACAGTAGTAGTTATTTCTACAGCAGTGCCATGAGCTAAATATATAAAATTTATGGTGTCCTTCAGAGTTTCCTGGTTACAGATTTTAACACAGGATGTATTCATTTCTTTTAGCTAGAATAATTTTCCGTATAAGGTTAAATTGGTCCTCAGCTGTTTTGTTCTTATGGCCACATGTAACTGAAAATGTAGAGGCAGCTTCTTCATAAGTACTGTTTATATAAGGTGACTTAGTGACCGAAGTCTGAGATACAAAATATCTAAATTTTCTATAACAACTTGTTTAAATACCGACAAGCTTGAGTCATCCTTGTATACCACCAAGGCTGACAAATTGAGGGTTGTGTACTTTTTGAGGAATCTTTTGGTTAAGGCTTTAAAAATAACTGTAATATCCATGTTATGTGGACATCAAAGATCCTGTGGTTCCTTCCAGTAGAAATGGAGTTTATGCCAATTTCCTTTGCCAGAATAATGTATTTCCTTCAATTGTGGGGCAGTGTCCTGACTTTTGGCCTCCTTTCTGAAAATGCTTTGTGTATATATTAAAGCTATTAAAGCATCATGTTTTGGAAATGAGTAAGGCTACTTAAAATCTTTTATAGGCATGTTAATGTGGGATGAGTTTTGTCACACAAATTATTCCTGCATATCAGTCTTAATATAGCCTTTACATTTTTATAAATCTGTTGACAGTTTTTGGAAATAAAACATGTATAACTTTTTGGTTTTGGTAATACTTCTTTTGGTGTATATATAATGAAAAACGCTTCTGGACTTTGAACAGTTTGGCAGATGTCAGTATTATCATGCACTCTAAATACACTTGAGGTAGATAATATTGAGTTTCTACTTCTACTTTCTTCCATTTTCCATAAAATAAAAATAGTGCTTGCCCTTCTTAAATTTTATGTCCTTTCCATGGGAAAAAGACTAGGAGCAAAACTTTTCACATTTTGAAGCCTAGAGAGAACAAACTGAAAAATCTAAAGTGAATGCATATTCAAGTTTAAAGCAAACACACGAAGTTTCAAGCAGTTCTTCCTTCTCCTACTTTACTTCTTTTACTTCTGTTAGATATTTGTCCGGCCTGGTTTTTGTTGAGGTGGAAAAAAGGAACAAAAAAGGAACAAAACAAAAAAAACCCAACCATCTTTCTTGTTGTACTTTAAATCTGTTATATCTTGTCTTAGTACCCCACTTCCCCATGCACTGAAAAAAAAAAGAATTCCTTCTTCTTTGCAACAGTGTTTGTATCTGAACACTAGTATGATATTTTTTTGTCATATTTCTGACTGTAAACAACCCCAGCTGTAGAACCTGTTTTCTGGAACCCTGGATTCACTGTCTGAAGGGCTCTGGGCATTGTGTTTACCTTCAGTAGCGTTCACCAGAGCTTTCGTCATTTCCAGACAAGGAACAAACTGTATTCCTTTTTCAAAAGGGTGAACGTCTCTAGAGTATTAATAAAACCCTGTAAACCTTCTTGAAATATCTGCAATTACTAATGATAATAATTAAAATACTGACAATATTTTCTGGGATTCTTTGTAAACCATGTGCCTTTTATGCTTTCACAGAGCTTCTGATTCTGTTGGAGAAATGATTCCTGCTTTCCTTGGTTCTCTTTCACACTCTGCCTGTGGAGACATTCCAGATGCTTGGCCTCTTATGCAAAACTCAGCTTGTTGTGACAGCATTTCTATCTGTGAATCATATTCAGAACTGGCTGGAGAATCTGCAAAATCCTGCAGCCCTGAGACTGAAAATGCAGCCAGTGTTGAGCTGGATAATAACCAGGAAATAAGTGAAGTACTTATTTCAGCTAAGTCTCTTGATGGAAACGTTGCAAAGTCCTTTGAAATCTCCAAACACAGAACATGCAGAGAAGTTTCATCACTTCAGAACTTGGTGACTGCTGAAACCCAGCCAAAGACAAAGTGTAATGGAACAACAAATGACTCTACAGACTGATAAAGAGGTAAAAAACATAACTACAAAGGAGTGAGAATGAGTGCTCCAGGCAAGTAGAGCTAGATAAAAATAGAATTGTAAAAAGTTGTAGGGTTATATTTCTCCATAGCTTACACTTAACTGTTGCTGATATAAATTAAACCTCTACAAGAGATCCAGCATTTTAAAACTGTTAAAGGAATTTGAAAGGTGTAATTATGCAAAATCTAGTGTTGAAATAATATGAACAGGGGGTGGTAAATCAGTACACTGGTCAGTTTTTATCGGGGGATTTTTTCATTGAATTTCAGGAGGGAAAATGACAAAAAAATGACCTTACGACCAAACTGTTATGTGAGTCTAGACCTTGTTTATGAGGGAGAACTGAGGAATTGTTTTTCCTATTGTAAACAAAGCATAAAAAACATGCAAGTGTACATCTAAAAATATTTACAAAGCCTTTCTATGGAGTCACTACACAGCAGTAGTAGAAAGAGAAGAGAATTTCAAATGCTTTTTAATGCCATTCATATTCTCATGTCACCAGATGAAACACAAATTTGTCCATAAAATGCAATTTAGTCAATGAAATCTCAGAGAAAATGCAGGTCTGAGGTCAAAATGAGAAGAGGTGATAAACAATTGTTGCTACTATGTAACAATGGAACAATCACAAAAAGTCACTCTGCTACTGGTTCATCATTATGTCATTTTGAGTATTAGCTGTGCTCTGTATTTTTAAAATGGAATTTTCTACTATTGGAAGTAAATTGGAGCATCGGGTAACTAGTCTGTGAAAGGATCCCAAATTACAGCATGTGTGCTGGTAACAATTGCTGTTACTCAAGGGTTATGCAGGCTGTGGCTGGAAAGCTGAAACTCTTTCCTGTGTATGTACACAGAGACAGGAACAGAAGCAGTTGCCACTAATATTAATAATCCACCAAATTTAATTAAGAAAATGATGCTATCTGTAATTATTAAAACTTTGGGTCATCTGCAGAAATAAAACTGCCTTCCTTTGATCCTCTTCCATTTGGTTTGCATGCCACTTTCTTATTGTTCTTAAACATGAAGTAGAAAGTAATTAGTATTTAGCAAAAAATATGTATATTCTGAAGACATGTAAGAGCAGTAGTTGTTTCTTCGTAAATCACGCCTTAATTGTTTAGGTAACATTGTCAAGGGAATGAAAGGGAAGTGAACAGACTGCTAAGTCAAGAACTGTTTTGCCATTGACTTCAAAGGACCTTGTATGTCACCCTGAAAAGCTAATGCTATCACTGAAAATATCAACCTTATCTGGGTGGCGCATACTTTTCCCAATGTACGATTTACAATAATACTAACATTGCTGGGCACTGACTGCCCATGTCTTAGATAGCAGTTATCATAGTTTTATTTTAGTATATGTCAAATATCATTAGGTGATATGTATAGGTCATATTCTGTAGGTATGTGTAGGAAGGGGCAGTGCCATTGCTTCGACTGCAGATCTTGACACTGCTAGTACCCAGATCTCATGATGTCCCAAGGGACTGTATTTCCACACTAACAAGATTTAAAAACTCAAAAGTTTGTGGGTGTTTTCCCAATAAACCATGTATCAAGTTCAGAGATGTGCAGTTAATATTATTTTCTAGTTTTATTAATAATATTAATAAATATTAATATTATTTTTTTAGTTTTTCTAGATTAAAGGAACCATGGATTTTCAAAATATTACTATAAAAATTAGCTTATATTTCACCATAGTTGTTATAGTATATGAATTGTAAATTTTACTATCAATTCCTATGTGTATGGAGACATTTCTAGCATCTCAAAATCCTCTATTCTTTGATGGTTTTGCACTATCCTGTATTACTACTGAGATTTGTGTATAATTTTGAATAATCAAGGTTTTCAGGAGGGTGAAGTTTTTCTTAATTTTTATTCTTTTGTAGACCTTGCTGATTCATTTTGTACAATTTCTCCATATTTGGACTCTTTGGTGGATCATTATCTATGCATTTTTGGTGGAGAAATTTAAGTCAGGTTTGAGGGACAGGACCAGGACTAGGCTTACCTGAAGTGTATTTTCACGCTTGATGGTAGCCACTTGGATGACTCCAAGAAAATTATTTCCTCTCAGTCTTCACCATTTTTTCCCATTTGTCTTTCATCTTTCATGTCTTGAAATATTTTGAGGGAAGGATGGTCTTTTTAGTGCCTGTGGATGCATTAGAGTCTTGCACAGGTCCATACTTTATTATTGAAAAAGAAATAATAGCATGATAAAATCAGAATATAGCATATTTTTATATACGTACACACAAATATAAGCTTTTTAGTAGGTATTTTAATACAGATTTAGTCTTCAGGTTCATGTGAATTTTACAGCAAGCACTAAGTATACCTCTACTTTTTTAGTGTTTAGTCAAACACAAAAGTATATACAGGTTATTTACTAATTTATGTAACCACTCTTCTATCACTTTCTTTTAGGAACCCAAGGTTTTTCTCTCAGAACTAAAGCTGAATCCTTCCCTTATGCTCCTCTGCTGATTCTCATCAAACATAGTCTGGTCTTCAGTGTTGCATGCTTTCAAAACCAGCTGGAAAAAAATGGCATCACTTCACACCTTCTGAGCAGTTGTATTGGAGCTGTAAAGTGAAACTTCAAAGAGCATCCTAGGAGAACCCTCAAAGTGGATTTATGACCTTTTACATCTCTTCTTTTCCCTCAGATTCTCAAAATATCTAGTAAAGCGATCTTTGTAGTGTATGTAAATACAGCAAAAAATAGAAATACTTGAGTGTGATTAGGTGGGTCTCTTAAATATGACTACAGATGTCAGAAGTCGTGGGACAAGATGTTGCCAGTTATTCTGTTTGCAGATTTATACGTGCATTAGAATTCTTTTTTCTGCTGGTTCTAATTTTAAATAATTTTCCTGCTATTGAAACATGTAAAAAATAAACATTTCTATTTATGCAAGGATCACCTACTGATAAACTGAAGCTTTTATTATATATTGCATTATAGTCAATAAGCTAGTGGGGGGAATTAAAGAATTAGCATGTTACAGTTTGTATGGTTAAAGTCCCCTTCATCCAATTATTACATTTATGGGAGGTGACGTTGTTCTGTTAAATATAGCAGGAGATTAGCTTTAAATTAGTTTTAGTTTAATGAAGGTCAGATGTATAGATAGGGATATTGTGTTTAATTGGTAGTCAGTATTGGAATATAGCACTTGTTGTTATAGCATTTAATTTTGGATGTTGAAATAAGTGTAATCAAGTCACATCAAAATTTCCAATTATAGCAGGTGTGCCATGAAAGTATTCATACAGTGAGACTGTTACTAAGATTTTTTATTAATGCATTATTTTTAAGGGTCAAGCTTCATGGTTACCTAATTCGTTCATTTAGGAGTCCTTGTTTCATTTATGGCACTCTGTCCTTCTCGCTGTAGTATTTGTCAATTCAAATTTTCAAAATATAAAACTTAATTCATAACTTTTTTTAAAAAATTACCTCTAAATTAAATCGTCAAAGTTATGTATATGCCTAGTAAATTATCAACTCTCTGCAGTCAGTGCTGTACTTTTAAGATTTTTTTTAACAGTGCTTTGTCATACTACATCCCATAATATCATTTTTTTTTGCAGCCATTTTTTTCCCTAAAATGGTTTTTGCTTCTGTGGGTAATCCCAGTAACCTCTACTAATTCATTACATTCAACAGGCTCAAACTTGCCAGTGATGAACTCTAGCAATTATTCCTTTCAAATACCCGGTGTGCCTTGACAAAAGTAAAGCAATCAGCAAAACAGATGCAAATTTGCAATAAATATTACTCATCTTTCCACACATGGTTTGTGTGGCAACGGAGATGTTGAGACAGTATTCTTAATCCATTATGGAGAAAGACTTTGGCTTTGAAGCACGCAGTAGAAGAAGGCTGGACCTGCACAGGAATAGCTAAAGCCAGTACAGGCAGCCAGGGCTGGGAGATGCTTCAGCTCTTCGCCAGTGCGATTATTCATGTGTGCAAAAGTCACGAATAACAGTTATCAAGTGCAAACCAAAGTAAGTGAAGAAGTTATGTGATTTTTTTTGTTGTTGTTGTTTGTTTTTTTAAGTAGTGAATACCAACCATCATTTGGTCACTGATGGAATAATATGCAGTTATACAGTACAATTACTCAGCTAATTACTTTCAAGTATATATTTAAATACAAGTAGTTTTGAATAATTTCTTTGTAGACTTTCATACATTAAAGAAATTACAAAACATTATTTCTCACTACATGTGCATGAAGAGATGTGTGCTTCCTTGTATATACTTTGTAAATAAATAAAAAAAATCCAACGTGCATTTCACTATATGGCAAAATATTTTTAGAACATACAGAGATTTAACTTTTCACTAATAACTGTTCTTTAAAAAGCTATGTTCAAAAGTTTTGCCAGCATCTGCCACAGTGTGTTTTCCCATTGGAATTTAAACTTTGTATAATTGTTTTTGTCCAGCAACTCTAGAGAAAGATACTCATTTTTTTTTTAATGAGTGACAGATAGCCTGAGAGCAAATTGGGAGGAAGAAATTAAGAGAGTGCTTTTTAAATACATGTGTATATTATGTATATACTTTTTTCCTTAATTTAACCAAATTGGTCTTTTGTATATTGCCTGTGGCAAGCAATGTTGTACATGCCAATAGAAAACATACACTGTCACTGCATTCAGACTGCCCACATATCATGTCTAGGGACTTAAAGTGCTGTTTAATACTCTTTTAACAAATGTAAATTATAATCCTGTATAAACTGTTTTGTAATACTTTTTCTACTTGTGAATAAAATGTTACATGAACCAGTCTTGGTGTGTCGATCTCAAATTAATAGTAGCACTTTATGCCAAGCTAGTGATCATTTCTTTTGTTGTTTTTAGAAGTCCATAATGGTGTAATTGTATTAAAGTTATGGTAGAATTTGGTACATCTTTGTCTTGAGGTGCTTGCTGTTTAAGAGTAGCATCGTTCTTCATGCTGGAGGACTGTAAGCACCACAGTTTGCTGTCTGTATAATGTCTTTGAAAACAGAACCCAGTGCTCACGCTGCAGGTTGTTTCAGACCAGACAGATAAGTAAGTAATGAGAGTAGCTGTATTTTTGAAACAGGAAAGGAATCACGGCCCCTGATCAGTGCCAACAGAGCCAGCATTTGTGTTGCACTGCAGCTGCAGCCAAGAGTGGTTTCAAACCTTGGCTGAAGAAAGAGCGAATTAGAGGAAACCGATACAGAAGACTAATCACCCGTGATTATTTAGGCCATTTTTCAAACACTGTCCAGAAGGTTTACATGAAAAGATTCAGGACAATGTTACTCAAATAGGCTGCTGTACAATTTAAATGATTAAGAAAGGGATGGCATCATCTGACTGACAAGAGTAGAAGACTGAGAAGAAAGAATAAGTTGGTAATTGCATATAATTACATGACTTCTGGGAACAGAATCCAGATAAGGATGATAGGTAACATAAAGCAAGGCTGGTTGTGCTGGAATATGGTAGCGCTATTGGTTTTGGGGGGAAAGTCTTGGAAAAACTGAAAGTTGCTCTGTCCCTGCCACTAGTTTAGACTAGTGAATTTCACATTGCTTCTTCTCTGTGTATTGCTGTTAGTTCTACAGTCTTTTAAGTACATAATTCAGAGCTTAACTGAGAATCACCTTCCCAAAATAGCAAGGGCTCCTTATACTCTGCTGCACTCCTGAGTAGTCTTGTTTTCTGCTGTGTTAAAAATGGCAGCAGTCCACATCCCCAGTCCACTGCATCATCCTTCTAGTTCACATGAAGCCTTTCAAGTCAGCACAGCAGCACATGTCACGTTTGGGAGTTGTTTACTTTGTGTCAAAACAAGTAGCTTCGTGACTCTCAGCACTGCTAGGATGGCAATGGAGTGTCCCTGACAAAAATTAAAAAAACCCAAGAAATAAACAGGAATTAAAAACCAGGTATTTACTCTGTCTGGAAACAAAGTACAACATATATATGACCATATAAGTTGCACAGACATTTGCTCATATCAGCTACTACATAAATGCAATTTTCTAGCAAAAGAACTTTCTAAAAGATCTACAAAAAAAAAAAGGAACACCCATCCCAAAATCTTTTCCTTGCTTGCATTGTTATTCAGTATTTCCTGCCTTTTCTACAAGGTAGAGCAAGCTCTTAATCCAGTGCTCCTCATCCTACCAGGAGTTTGAGATCACGTGGCTTTTCCCTTTGTTGTGGGCTCTTTGAGGGCCTCTGGTTTGCATTCCTATGAAGTCCCTCCAAGCAACAACCTTCATGCATTAAATTAATCCTCTCCCTGACTTTGGTGATGGAGGCTTAGATCGCTACCTGCAGCACATTCCAGCACAGACACTGCTGCTTTGTTTGGCCCTTTTAAAGAAGGAGTATTGAAGGAGCGTGCAGTGTTTTATCAGGCATGGAGCAAGCTGAGGCTGGGCACTCCCGGGGAGCAAAGCCACACAATGCACACTTTGTGCTGGCAGGGTGCAATTTAATCCATATTTAGTTTTGGCATGAGTGATGGTAAAATCCACTTGCTCTTCACATTACACATGAGCCATTTTGATTATGTCCGATAAGGGTGCTTTCAATAGGGTAAAAATAATAGTGGGTGGGTTTGCTAGAGAGCCTGCTGCTTTCCACAACAGCAGTGAATCATGGGATTAGAGGAAATGTTTTCTAATAGCATACTGATAGAGAGAATGGCAGATTTGGGGCACACTGAGGCAAGCACCACTGGGTCAGCTGAGTAAGACGGTGGTTTTTCCCATCATTTGATTTTCTAAATTCTTATCACAGTTGAATATTTTTTTTAATAATTTTTTTTTTTTTGGCTGACCTGACAAAGGGAGATTTGGCTTGTTCAAAAGGTTATAAATGACATTTTTCTAAATCGTTGGTGGAAAAGCAGACAAAAAAAAAGAAGGCAGTTTTTAGAAAGTGCTTACCTCGAGCCTCAGTCTTTGTGGAGTTTTCCATTTCTTCTGCCCAGGTCCTAGTCTCAGTTTGGGGATGGACAATTCACATGCTATTTGGTATGCAAAAATTCCCCTTAGTGTAGCAGCTAATACACCACAATCGAGTTTGTAACCAGCAGTTTAAGGGAGAGCACTGATTTAAAACTTGAAAAAAATTAAACCATCAGAACTCAAGAAGTCTTGATTTGTCCCAGATCTATATCAGCCAATTAATTGGAACATAAACATATATAAATACACAATGTGTATGTGTGCCTGAAGATGTATTCTACATTAGAATAAAATAATAAACCAGTCCCTTTGCACCTGACCTGAGGCAGGGCATTGTTCAGATCAGTTGGTAATTTTATTCCTAAATCCTTAAACATGAGGAAACTACAGAGCACTGTGGACCAATTCAGGTGAGACCTGTACACTAAACCTGTACACATTTGTTCTGCGTGTGGCAGAGTTTACAAAATTAATTGAGAACTTTCTAAAAAATACCAAAGGCTCTGTTTCAATTTTTTAAAATGCCTTTCAGCCCAGGAATCCAAGTGCCCTAGAGATTTCACAGTTCACATATGGGAGCCTTAAAAAAAAAAAAAATAACTACAAAGACCTACAGCCATTACACACTATGGTTCCCTTCCAGCATTTTTAGAGCTGCAATTTCTTGCTCTTCAATAGCACCATACTGGAATATTCACTGAGTGAATGCAACTTCTTCACTGGGAGAGGTGCTTGCACTTCTGTAAAAGCGATGTTTAAGAGAACAATATTGAACAAAACAGGAACAGGAGAGGTTATTATGAACATAAGAATAATGAGAAAAGTATATCTAGCTTTTAGTGCAACAAAAAAAAAAAAAAAAAAAAAAAAAAAAAAAAAAAAAAAAAAAAAAAAAAAAAAAAAAAAAAAAAAAAAAAAAAAAAAAAAAAAAAAAAAAAAAAAAAAAAAAAAAAAAAAAAAAAAAAAAAGAGCAAAAAGGGCCATTACATCGCCAAAGTCAAGCTCTAGTCTACAGGCACCTTACTTCTCTAACTTCACGTTCACTTAAAACACACATCAACTCTGCACCTGTCCAAGGCCAAACAAGATCTGGAAGCAGAGTAACAGTGTTTGCTGCACCAATTTTGTCCATATGTTGCCTATGTGCTTTCTTGTATATTTATGCTGATATCTGCAACATATGGTAGCTGAGTTTACCTGAGGAAATTCAACAGCAATGGCCATTTGTTGTCTCTCTGTTCCAAGAGAAAAGAGAGAGTTTTTTACCATTCTGGTATCGTTCTATGTTGTTAGATACAACAATAGTTTTTGTTCCTTTATCATAGCTTCAGCTTTATTAAATCTTATTCCCGAGGATGTTCAACAATTAAAGAGGACACTGCACTTGTGCAAGAATGAGAATTTCTTTCTGACTGAGATACTAAAACACAACCATAATATTCCAGCAAACAACACTTGCAGTACCTTTTGTCAAAATTCATCACAGTTTTTTGATATTTTGAGACTAAAAATAGTTGACTGAAAACTCTCATGAGGGTGTGTTCTCCAGGAAGGTTTGTGCAGCTATTCTCCATGTTAAACCCTCAATCAACTGAAATCTTCAGCTTAAATTCTATATTTAGATATACTTTAAACTTTGGTGGATTTGTTGGTTACTCAAGGAGGACTAATCAATTTTTTATGGGCAAGAACGACCTCAAAGTTATTTTCATACACTGTTTTTAAACTAGCAGAACAGATGGACTCAGGCAGAAGAAATTCTAAATCTTTTACATCATAAAATGCCTATTGTACTGATGGGTTAAAAAAAGTAAGCAAGAGAGGGTTCAGACCTCTCTCTCATTAGTTCCATGAGAGAGGCTATGGGATCTCCAGGGAAGAGCTCAAGAATGCCATAAATTACATCTCCCGTGGCTTTCAACAACGAATAGATAGCGTTGGAGTTTACTCAAGGTGTTGGCAAGTGCTACAGTAGGGATTCCTGAAAAATATCTGAGTGCCAGATGATGTTTACTAATACGTGGAATGCTACGGAGGAGGTCTTGTTGCATTTACAGCCCAGATAATAAAATTTTCCTAGAAAAGAAATCTTTTTATTGCCTTTCTGCAGTAAGTGGACTGGGGGCAGCAGGGGAAGCAGCAACAGCTGCAGAAGCCAGGGGAGAGCAGGGTGCAAGCACTGACATGGCCAGCACTACAGCCTCTCATAGCTGACCTCCCTCTGCAAGGCGCCCAGCTGTGCAGAGATTAGCTGCAAAACTGCTTGGAAGTCTAAAAATTCCCAAAGATGCAATATTGCACCTTCTGCAGATGTATTAGTGTTGTAACTGCAGTAGCTGAAAGAGGTAAGCAAAAAGAAATATCAACTGTTAGCTGAAGGGGTGAATCAAAAATAACTGAAAGTTTGGGGCTCAAGGCCTCCTTGGATCTGCTTTCTAATGTTTGCTTGCACACTTTGCATCCAGTTAAAGGTCTACAGCTGTTGTGGCTCCTCTGAGGATACTCCTGCAGTTATTACCTGATCTTAAGGAGCAGAAGTTGCCTTTCAGTTTGGCCTTGTTATGCTCCATGCTGCAGGAGCTGGATGGTTTAAATGCCTGACAATCTGTGTTCTTTTCCTAATTACCTCATTTTTGGACAAAAAAAACCAAACAGCAAACCCTAAACAAACAAACAAACAAACAAAACGCCTCTGTTCAGATTTTGCTTAATTTGTATTACTCACAAGCTTCCCATAATAAGGCTGATTTCATTTTCTCATGGAAAAGAAATGCAGATACCCTAATGCCACCCTTCTTGCAGAAGATAGCCATGGAATCAGCTGCTGAGTCATGCTCTCT